ATCCTTGTATTCCCGTTGATTTGCATCTTCGTTACACAAGCTTGTATTTACTTTATTTACATTGTGTTTGTGTAGTTGCTCTTGTAGTTAGTTAGTTTGTGTAGCTTGCTAGTTACCTTCTTACTTGTGTAGCATAGAAGTAGCTCCCTTGCGTGACTAATTCGGTCTGAGTAATCTTGTTAGTCACATTGCTTAGTTTGTGTAGCTAAGAAATTTGCGCTCTATAATTTGGCTTGTGTAGCCTTGTTATTGAGCATTACTAGTGAGCTTAGGTGGCTTTGTGCTTTTGCTTACTAGCATGTGTAGGAGCTCACTCGTTGCTTGAAGTACTAGTGGCAAAGGTTTGTGTGACCTTATTTCTAGAATTGGTTAGGTGAGCTCTAGCTAGCCCGATACCTTTGTTGCCTAATTAGGATCTTTATAAGGTGTTTGTGAACTTCGATAGAGGGGTATAGTCTTGGCTAGACCGATTGTTTTAATTCACGCATTTGTTTCGGTTAGCCGGCGCGATTAAATTTAGAAATGACTATTCACCCTCTCTAGTCCGCCATCTCGACCCTACAGCGGTCTGAGCGAGCACCTAGCGAGGCCGTGAGCACCCTAGGTGAGCACCTGCGTGAGGCCGTGAAAACGCCCTGGCGAGCTCGGTGGCCTGCTCGACGAGCACCCCCTCCTGGGCGAGCACATTGATGGGCGAGCACTGCTGGTAGAGAGATTTTTTTAAGAGGCACGGACGGGAGCGAGTGGACGGCGCCGTAGCAAGTGGGAGCCGTGTCCGTCCATCCGGACGTCCTCGATAGAGCATTATCATTATATTTTGGACGGATGATACATGTGTCCTCACTTCATTTCTCTTTATGAATCATAAGATTTAAGGAAGATTTTCAAAATCAGCATAAGCACAACAATATTTTTTAGCAAACGAACATTGTTTTTCTCTGGTAACAAATCAGCATAAGCTAAATTTCAGCGAAACGAACAGGGCTTATATGTTGACCTACTGTTACAACATCTTACATTGTGAGGTATGATTCCGCTGACGTATCTTTTGTACGCTAAATGCATTGTTTTGATTATTACTGGTGAATGTAATCAACGTGATCGGAACAGCTTCTACCGCCGCAGCCGCTACGCTAGTAGCAGCAGCTAGTGACATTTTAAGCGCATGTATTGTAGCTCCAGCTAACCGGCACTGTTGCCCATGAGCGAATCTAGGATAAATTATCACCGTGGTTAACAAAGACTCATGAATCATTATACTAAAATCTGTTTGTTCCAACTTAAACAAACCGTCTAGTTTTTGACCTGGCTTTTGAAAAGTTAAAAAGTTGGCTTCTAAGTAAATGGACTAAACGCTGAAAAACACGTTCTGAGGATTTTTTTAGTTTTTAGTGTGTTGAGAAGCTAAAAAATTATTATAAATAGCAATAGCGAAAAGCAAAAAGCCAGAAAACCAGCATTTTAAGACAAAATTCTAAAAATTGTAGCCGGAGATGATTTTTAATCCGCTGTGAAGACAGCTGCCAGCCAAAACAGCCGCAAAAGAGCAAAAGCGAGCATGCCCATATAGTCCAACGTTTTTCCCTTTCCACTTTTGCTAACTTATGTTTTTACCTGCCGTGCACCTCGGTAAGCCGGGGCTTACTAAGGTTTATTTTTTCCTTCTATACCTCTTCCATTTTAAATTATAAGTCACTTTGACTTCTTTGGTACATAAAATTTGCTATGTATCTAGACATATATTATAACTAGATACATAGCAAAATAAATGTATCAAAAAAATTAAAACGACCTATAATTTAGGGATGGAGGGAGTATTAATTAAATACGTGTATGACTATGGTCGTGAAAAAAAATAATTTGATCGCATACATGATATATTTTTGGTTTAGGCACCTTTTGGAACGCACGATTCTCCAAACATAGGAATAGGAAAACATATGATTAGAGCTCCACGAAACTTGCAATCCTACATGAATCTATTATGCAATATATCCTTTGGATGGAACATGGAAAAAATACAAGAACCAGAAGAGAGATACACAAATGACAGTTTCCATGAGGTCCAACCTCAATTAGTTTTCCTCCAAAATTCATACGTTTTTATGCAATCCGATGGCAATGCTAAGGAATTTCATAGGTTCAATCCTTTGTCGCATATAGATGTGTAGGGAACTTTCCTATATGGTTGAAACCCAAAATTCCTACGCTTTCCTTTGTTCTAAAGGTGGCCTTGATTTGTGAAACGAAATGAGATGATCCATCGTCACCTCATTCCTACAATAAACTAACGATTAGTACCGGTGAGGAATAAATTTATTTCACCAAATTTAAAAAATAGACTCACCATACAACACCTCATCTAGAACTAGAGTGGAGTAGTTTCTTAAACCAAACACCATATAACTCGCTCATTCGTCTCGATTTCAAGTATATGGTTAGCCTAGCTTTAATTTGACTCTTGTGTGCACTTCTGTGCTTAATATATACGTACGTGTGTGTGAGGGGAGAGTGAACTCTTTTTCTTTTGGCTGCTTTTTTATTCGGTGGCGTTGAATTACGTATGCATCTCAACGTCAGAGATGTCCCGTTGAATTTAAGCGGATGCGCCGCTTTCGTCGCAACTATATATATAGCTTGCAACAGGACATATATTACGAGCATACATACTGCGCGTACGTAACGATGATGACACAGACTATAGGAGAATGATGAGCAATAATGGTGATGGAGCAGAAAAGATGGAAATATGAAGCTTGATCTGCATTATTTATATTTGCATAATAGTTTTATTTTACTGCCTGACGAGTGACGATGTCATTTCTTGACTGAAAGTACCCTGAAACAACGGTTCAAGGGTTTCACACGGATCGGATGTGAAGCTTTGAAACCTTGGATGACAAGTTTCCGGTTCTCCCTCTTAGCTTTTTACACACTCTAGCACACAGCGCTTCAAGTTGAGAGGCCATACATGTCTGCCTCCACGTGTGGGCAAGGTCAGCACTGCTGACGGCCATTTCTTGAAGTGGCTGCTGGTCATAATTAATTGAGGTCAGCAGCGCACCAACGTCACGCGCCGACGCGAGTCTGTGTGGTCGCGCCGCGCCGGTCGCCGGACGGTGCGTGTGGCGCGTCGGCGCCTCGCCAACGGCGACAGGGGAACCAAGCACCGTGAAAAAGGGTAGGAAAGAGGGGATGGCAACTAACGGTTCGTGCACGGCACAGGTGACTGCGGACTGCCGATCGAAGCGCCGGGCCAGGTCGCCGGGTGTGTGTCATATGCTGGCGACCGGGGGCCCGTCCCTGACGGTGGATGATGTACGTGTCCCCCTCCTGGCCAGGGAACACGAGCAAGGCTACAGGGCAATGGCCAGCGAACACCAGAAACAGGATGACGATGACATGTGTGGTTCCGGAACACACACGGGCTCTGACAGAGAACAGAGCAGCGTCTGCATCAGGACTGTTGCAGGAAGTCCATGGAGCGCTGCAGGACCGGAGAGTCCGGAGCGGACCACCGGATCTGATCGCCTGGTCCCGGACACGGCAGGGGAGCTGCCGGCTAGCGGGACAGACAACGGCCATTAGCCAAGCAAGCACATCCGGCGAGAAAATTCTTCCCGAAAAGAAAAAAAGAGACAGATGGGGGGATGCGGACATGTCAGCTTTTTCCGTAGGCCCATCCGTCAACAATACTCTGTACAATGGAACTGGAATGCAGCAAACAAACAAGGTCGATCGCGAGCACATGGCCGGCCCATGCTTTCAACGGCACGGACGCACGGTTCAGCTTGTTTTTTTAGTTTGAATAGTGTTTTCTTCTCGCAACAAATCAGTCGGAATAGTGTTTCGGCTTGTTTTTCAGCGAAGCGAACGGGGCCGAACTTCAGAGCTGGACTTTGGAACGGTCGAACTGAGTGCAGTCGCAGCAAATAGGCAGCAATAGAGTACTAGTAGGGTTCGCAGCGACATCCCAACTCACCAATGTACAAGTGTCCGCCAATCTTCTACAAGTTCTAGGACACTGCACATCACGTTCACATTGGGCGGCCTTTTCGGTTGCGCAGGCCCCTACAGGAACTTTGGTGGCACGCACTGGCAAAAGGCCTGGTTGTGCGGTGGCTGGCTGTTGGTGTGGGATAACTTGAGGCCGCCAAGACGACAGCAGGCCCCCCGCGTCCCGCGAGACGGCCTGACGGGAAGCGCCCCAAGCTTTTACACGACAACGGCCGTCGTGGAGACATGACGACGACCACGCAACAGCGACGCCGCCGGCCATGGCACAGCTGCTCGTGTGACCGTGCCTCCTCTCCTCATGTGTCCGTCTCACCACCACACAACACCAGCAAGGAAACAAGACAAGGGACCGATCACGGAGGATGATGGGTCCGTCAGGGTGAAGTAGGACTGTAGGAGTAGGAAGCCATCCGATTCTGGACTTCTGGTCCCAGCCAGCGACGTAGTGCTGTTGTGATGATCCTTTACTTGCAGGCACGCTGTTCATCAAAACCGCACTCTTTCCTACGCACAGCATATATCACTTGGCGCTGGCACGCCAGAATTCAAACCAACCAGCACTTCAGCAGCTGCACAAGTATCAGCAACAGGACACGTCATTTCATGGCCACGGGAGCACAACTGCCCGGGTACAGTTTAATCATAAGCTATACGGATGCCCCTTTATGCTTGATTTCAACATTTGCGATTGGATTACCGCACCAGGGCATCTGGACGCACGCAGCTCATTGCGCGTCCCGGTTAACAACATACAAGGGCCATGTGGCGCACTAAGCACCCTAGGAAAAATGCTAGTGTACATTACATTGGGTGACTGAAGCCATAAGCTTTATCACCACAAGAAGCCTTGTTGACAGGCTTACACAAACTTTCTGGTATACAGAGGAGCAAGATGCCTTCAGCTTTGCAATGGATGGCTCTGCCTGCTTCCTCCCTACCACCTTCTTCAAGTACAGTTACATGAGTCAAGCCTGTTCAGCAAGTCATGTTGGGTTCCTGAAGAATGGATGGTCCAGAGCTTCTTGCGCTGTCAGACGTTCTGATGGCTCGAATCGTAGGAGACTGTATAGCAAGTCCACCAGCGCTGCCTTTGAATGGTCAGCGTTCCTCGATACCAAGTCCTGAAGTTGTGGTTTGTAAGGTTCAGGATTTGTAAGTTCAATCGTCCTATCTTCATAGCTTCTTACTCATTTTGAGTTACGTTTCGCATCATATATTAGTTTAAAATTTGAAATTAATAGCAGCACTACTAGTTAGCAGCTATTATTATTTATTAAGGAATTTTGAAGATAGCACTATCAATTCACTGAATGAAACAGAAAAACTGAACTCTTGTGCTTTCCTATTTGCATCCAACAAGCCAAACTTATTTTATGTCTGAGTTAGTCGCAGATTGTCCTCTTCATGCCTGTTTTATAATGTGTTATCAAGCAAATTTGTGTCTCCCAAAAGAAAAGTTTGGCATCTTTCTAACACTTTCACGAACAATATCATTTTTGTCCATGCGCAATTATATTTTAAGTCAATTTTGTTCCTTCCAAAAGAAAGCTCATAAATGTTATTCTTACATTAATGTAAAAAAAATACTAGCAGGTATAGCAAACAATATCGCTAATGACTACAACTAATCACAAGCGCAAACCCCAACTTCTAACCTTGACCCCTAGTTACCCTTAAAATCTAGGAAATAAGATAATCAGAACAAAGACAGGAAAATATCAAAATGTCTGCGTGAAAGCGTGGCAAGTTGAAAATATTAAAGTAGCAGAAATGAGGGAACTAAAACCTTTAGTCGATCCAGTTTCCTCACAGCTCTGATGCTTTCTCTTGAAACGGCACCTTCAGGCCAATTTAAGCGTGTTGCTCTCCTAAAATATTTCTGAGCAGAAGAACTACACATTCCAGGTGACACATGTAAGCACAATGAATGAATAAAGAAACAAAAAAAGATTACAAGAGTTTCCAAGAAATTTCAACATCACAAATTAAAATATAACAAGCAAGCAATACACATAGCAGAGATACACAAACGCAAAATTATCAAAATCAAGGTACAAGAAACAAAAACGGGGGGGTGCAAGTTAGTATTAGTCGTGGCCACAAAGGTAGTTATTGACTTTGAAAATCAAGTAGCAATAAAAAAAATAGAATAGATAAAAGGCAGCTATTAGCTTTGAAATTCAAGTGGCAATAAACAAAATAGAATAAAACCATATGCTAGTTAAGTACACTAATACTCTGCTAATCATGAAATATAATGAAGTGTAACAGATTAGAAACGTTCAATAAATAAAGAAGAAAGCGCCACTTTCTCAAAATGTTTACAAAAATGTAACACTGGTACTCTACTACAGGCAGAATTGAATGTGTCATTTTCTCAAAATGTTTAGATAAATGAATGTTCACTAAATAGATAAGAAAGCACAGTAATACCCAAAATCCCAGCCCCACCAAAAAAAAGAACTCAAAACATAAAAGTAAAGATATAAAGATATGCTTATCGAAAGCTGACTTGAACACAAATACATTTCATTCAAAAGCTAAAATGACCTACAAATTAAGATTGCAAATAACACACCTTGCTTTCCGTATCATATGCTCTGGTAGAGGTCCCAAAACCCTCTCCATCATTGCTAGGTGTTCCAGATTCTCGTGTGTCTGAAACAATGCTTCCCCCTACAAAAATTGTGATGTTAGGAAAACAACTACCAGACTGGTACTAGAAAAATAAGTGTGAGAAGAGATCTAACTGAGCATAGCTCAACAAGAATACAGCCAACACTCCAAATATCACATGGAAAACTCCAGCCTAAACCTGCAATAGAAATATGCAACATCAGAACTAATGACTTACAGAATTGGAGAAGAAACCTTTAGCAGCTATCATGATAGCTGGCATGACTACTAATGAAACAGTATAAAAGGTCTAACTCTTATTCTGCACAGCATAGAGCTCAGTTCAATCAATTTCATCAATACAGTGACAATATTGCTCAACCATCAACTATAAAACTAAATATGTGCAGAAAACACCAAACAATCAAAGAGGAAGAGGTACCAAGTTTTTTTTTCAGATTTGATTCAAACGCATCATTTAGGAGTAAATAAGAGTATGAACCAGGATGCCCCAGGATTTTGCTAAGATTTTGGATGATGTGTGTTTTACTCTATCGAGCATATTTAAGAGCACAGAAATCTTCACTTTGAATGATCATAGTTCATATCTCAAACAAGATAAAACTGAATCAAACCTTTAAGAATAACCAATTTACCTAAGATTATTTCAGGTGCCCTGTAATGCCTCGTAGAAACAATCGAGTTATGGTCCTGATTATCAAAGGCGGTACTACCAAAATCTATCAGCTTTATGGCACTGGATTTTGGCAAGCACTTGAAATGCATCTCATCTTGCGTATTCTTCTGTACAACCCCAAGCAATCATTCAAGAAAACTGCTAATACTGTATGCCTAGTAAAGAAATAGCAGGTAATCATTAAAAAAATGGGTGAGAATAGTACCTTTGTACTTGGAACTTTTATATACTCAGAAGACACAAGAAGTATGTTTTCTGGCTTCAGATCAGTGTGGATAAGCCGCAACTCATGCATATCTGTTACAGAAAAAGGGAAGAAAGATGGTCAACACTGCCCCTTTGGAGCAATAAAAAAGTGAAGCTGCAGCTACCAAATTAGCTAATAATTGATATGCAGAATCAAGCAATAACTAACACACATGCTACAGATTCCAACAGTTGCCGTCCAAACTCCCGCACAAGTTCCACAGGGAAAGGTTGGTATCTATTTCTCTTTAGAAAATCATACAAGCTTGGTCCAAGCTTCTCAAAGACCTGACAAAATCATTGATATCCATTGAATATAAAGAATATTTTTAATTTGTGACCATACAAGGGAACCTTCATGAGTGAAGAACAAAAAGATTTTGCAGTCATGCAAATCTTACTACAGGTGAGTTATCATAATTTCTATAGATGAGTCTCTCATTCCATACAAGGTGTATTGGGAGGGCCAATAAGATAAATATTATAAACAAACAACACATCCGCAAAAATGAAATGCATTCTGAGAATTGGTAACTGACTTTTAGAAACTAGTATAATTGGCCAAAAAACTAGCACTTACAATGCATATATGATTACGATAGTCAAACCATCTCTGAATTTGAACACAGCTGGCAATTGAAGAGGAACTATCAAGTCAGAAACAGAATAGGGTTATACTTTAAGTAATAAGGTTTCTGAGATACTCACAGAGATCTGTATTTCTCATTTTCTGCAAGGCGATTGAGCACATCTATCTCAATCATTGCAGCATCACGGTACTTGCGGATACTGCGAACAACTTTTATGGCAACATATTCACGTGTTTCACGGTCCCAGCATTCCAAAACACGCCCAAAAGTACCTACGAAAATCCAACTCGCAGTCCTCTTCATTAGAATAATAGCAAAGATACCCAGCAGAAGAGGAGACGACAGATTGCAGAAAACCCAAACCTTCTCCCATTTTGCTCAAGATTTTATCTGCACAGCCAAAAGCAGTCTGTCAATAAACATAACCATATATCAAACTAAATCTAAGTCAAAAAAGATACTGGGCACCATGCTAAACACATACATGCATAAAGTTTATTACTATTAAAATCGCAAAAACTGCTTTTATATACGAGCAAAAACTGCTTCATTCAGAATGGAAACCCTGCTTCATTCAGCTCCTTTACCTCACATAATAAATACAAGCAAATAACCCTTTTATATAGGAAATCTAACAAGCCCAGATTATAGGAGAGGAAATTATCACACCTTGACAGGACAACGGAACGCCTAAAAGTATACTAACTGCCAGTATGCAAGCGGGATCTCAGAAGAGTAAAAAAGCAGATAAAACCAAAATAACAAAAAGATACCACTAATTACAGATTATTAGACACAACTAAACGCTATCCATGCACAAGGGCTCGAGGAACTCAAGGAGAGAGTCAAAGAGTCGGGGCGCTCACATCGGCGGGTCAAGTTCTCGCCGAGATCGAAGACGTAGTGTCCGTCGCGGTCGTCCTCCCTCCACGGCGGCGACACGCCACCCCTCGCTACCTGCGTGCACAGCAAGGCCAAATCTGCATCAGCACAACCCGAAACCCCGCAAATCTGCGAGTACTCACGAGCAAAGCGGGCCCTACCACTTCTCGCTCTGGTGGCGGCGCGGCGGCGCAGTCATACGCTTGGCGCGTCCGCTTCCGAGACCGCGATGACTCCATGCGAAGCTCCGATTCGAGTTGGGGGAGGAGACGGAGAGAGAAACCCTAGATGGAGAAAGGCGAGGTCGGGGCGCGCTAATGGCGGCGAGGAGGAGCCGGTGGGAGCGGGGACTCGTGGCGGGCTGGGGCCCGGATGGAAGTGAGCAGGATGGGTCGCCGGTGGACGGGCCTGCGATCGGGCGATTCTACGAGGGACATCTGGGGGGCTCAACCTGGCTTTGGGGCTTTGGGCTCAGGCCATTTTCTGTTTTTTTTGAGTCGGCCATTTTCTGTTATGTTACGAGGTTGTTGCGAGAGAAAACTTATGTGTAAATGGTATATATATTCCATGTGATTGTGTTATTATTATAAAAAACTAATGATGCGTGATGTGTATTCGTTGTTTAAATAAAGATGTATAGCTAATGCATATGCCTTCAAAAGTGTTTTTATTAGTGGAGATTAAACTAACCAATTTTTTCATATACTAACTAATGAGATGAGCCGGCACTCTAATTAAGCATTTATAGTAGATAATTTGAAACTTTTGATTTAGTGAACATGTAAAAAGATAAGCTTTTTGCATGGATTTTGTAAAATTAATCATGTCCAACTTTCAATTTAGCATCTTAAATCACATTATTGCCACCTTTGTTCATAGGGTAAGCCAGGGTTGAAGGCAAGATGTTCTTTGTAGTCACAACGCATCAGTTAGGAACCATATCACAGCATCTCGCAAAGGTGTGGAAGAACAATAGTAGTTGATATCAATCCTAGGACATGTTTAGGTTCAAGGTCTAACATTGTTAAGTATGATTCTAGAAGGTCCTCCATAGAACCCTTCGCTCCATTTTCCTTTCCTACATGATAAACTCCTTCATAAATATTCAGCATGTCAAAATTTGGGGAAATAATTATGTATACAATCATGAATTATGGAAGATGGCATGCTAATAATACAGAAATTTAATGCTAAGATCCTAAGCATAGAATATGACAAGCGGCCCAAGGGGAGTATGGACCAATGGATTTTATCTTGGCCTGAATGGAAGTGAGGAGAAAATATCAATATCATACCATGGCTTTATTTTCATATCTTTAGTTATCTTAGTGCCTTGCAAATATAAATTGCATAAGAATGTTAAGAGTGCTTTCCTTTTTTTCAAATGTTTTTTGAATGAAAATCATGGGGCCAACCCCCCGACAATCTTTTTTTTTTCAAATGTTAGTCCCCACAACTATATTCTACTTGCATCTAGAGTACTGAAATTCAATATATAAACTATTGGATATAGGAATATAGTGGAAGTAGAAGTAGAATAGTAAAATAAGATTGGAATGATAAACTTGTATTGATGAATTGTAACAATGGGGTATTATATACAAGCCCTCAAATGGATGGTTTCCAAGTTTGTGGGAGGGCACGTGCTCCCATGAACAAATGCTATCACTAGTAGGAATATCCACTACTATGACGATCAGATTTCATCACTGAAGAAGCCAAATTAGTCATAATTTTAGTTTTATGACGAATTTATGATGAAAACCAGTTCGTCATAGAAGTTGCGTCATACTTGAAATTCTATGACGATTTTCGCAAATCATCGTAGAAGTGGCTTGATCTTTGATGAAAAACAGAACATAGAACTGTTTTGGCATGTGTGTTAGGGGGATGCCACGCTGGTGGGTGCTTCCGTTGGAGATGCTTTCCACGTGTACATGCTATAGCTGGTTGCATTGAAGATGGTTCGGGTATGTGTTACCTTCTTATTGCACAACGTGACCATCTCTGGTTCTTGCATATTTCAGGTTCTTACAGGACCATGTGTCGTGTTCCTGTTGTTCCACATGTTAGTTTTTTATGGGCATAGTGTCGTGTTACGGTTGAATCATGTGTCACTTCTTCATTGGACCATGTGGCATATTTTTATTGGTCCACGTGGCCGTTTCTTATTCGACCACGCATCACGGCATTGTCCGTCCATGTTTTGCATTTTTATTCAGTCATGTGGCTGAACAACATCCTTCCACGTATCGAATTTTTTAATAGCCCACGTGTTATGCTCTGGCTATTTCACATGTCATGCACTGGTTCCTCCACGTGTCGCATTTTTATTTGATCACATGGCCTGGTCTGGTTCTACCGTGTGGAGTACAATCAATTCGTCATAGAAGTAATTCGAGATCGTCACTACTGCACAGATTGACTACATAACCATTCAGTCTGGCAATCAAATAACCACAATTAATATTTCACACATCAGCAGCGAACCATTGACAGAGTATCACAACATCAAACCATCACACGTGTTCACACAACAGACCACAAATGTCACCGCATCAAGCCATAGGAGTTGAAGACAGAGAGTTAATTACCAAGAGAGCTTAACCGCAAGACTAACTCACTGAGCCTATTGTACTCTTTCTGTTGTTGTTGCTTGAATTTCTTAGGCTCCCTTTCAGCCTTTTCTGTCCTTACCTTCAGTTCATCCACTAGTTCGACGAGTTTAGATGTACTTTCCTGTTCACTAGCAAGCTGCTCCTGAAGTGTCATCTCCATCGATATGTCTGCTCTGGTGGATCTTTTCAGGGTACCAACATTCTTCAAAAAAAGGTTTTTACTTCTTGCCTGGGAGGGGCGCTTGCCCTGGTAGAGGTAGAGGACCTTGGAAACAACATTAACACTAGTCATTGGTTGCTGCCCATCAGTAACAGGTTCTGCTTGCATAGCTTCTATAGCTTCCTGCGAAATTCAATCAGTAAAACATTAGGTTACAGATAGTGGAAGATGACTTCAACTGAAAACCCAAGAGATTAATTCATAACAAGTAATGCATAGGACTTCCTTAGATGACTGTTGATAGAGATTACATAAGCACAATGCATAGGTCTTTTGCAGCCTACTGCAGGTAGAGATTACGTAAGCATAATTTACAGGTACCATATTGAATGGTGTAAAATTGCAACTAAAAAATTAAATGATGTTGTCACATTAGGCTCCTGCGCGCGTTTCCTTCTTTTATGGCAATGGGTTCAGTAGATTTCAAGGAAAGCAAATGAAGGTACTTACAACTGCTGCTCTTGCAACATCGCTCAGGCCCTTTTTCGTACTGGTATGAAAGTCCTTGAAGACTTCCACAACATTAACATCTTCATTAGGTCGACCATGTTGTTCAAGCCCTGGATCATCATGTTGTTCATCAAGTCCTTGATTGTGTTCTGCGGCCTACCTCTTGTTCTCCTTCTGTTCACATTGTACATGAGTTTCTGTTTATATTTATACAAAGGCAAGAGTAACAATAAAACACAACCATCACTTACAAATGTTTGCAGCTGGACAACATATGAGTGAGATCCTATAGACCGGTGGTACTTCACTTTTGCATGGTTTCGCTTGTTCATCTTAGATGTTTCCTATAGCTTCATTTGTGTTAGACTGCAGCACAAGTAGACCATAGCAGGACTAGACAGGAAATCGATGGGTTCACACACACACCTTGTTCTTAGCACTAGACCAAGTCTCGACAAGATCACACCATTGTGCATCGCTTATGCACAGGACATGAGAGGTCGTAGGGATCTAATCAGCATAGACGCCATTGAAGTAGGTTTGCTTCCACCTGTAGCGTGCTTGTTGTACCCCACACTGCAATACATTCCAGCAAGCTTCTTGTGTTGGTGGGTGAGCCTTGCCAATGTCTAGCCTTGACTGCACATAGTAGTGTGAATGAAAAGTAAATCCGTTGAAGTTGCCCAAAGCAGAGTTGAATGTCAAGAGAGGTTACCCATACATACAGTTAGCCTGTCAACAAAATTCCTATAATGGATGACACCGGAGGGCTTCTTGTAATGTTTCTAATGTGTCAAAATTGGTATTTGATGTCTGACTAGTACACCTGCCTTTGAGACAAACTTGGCAGCTAGCAACGGATCATGTGGCCTTCTGTTCTCCTCAGCAATAGAGATGGGCATTCTCAATCCTCCCATTGATTTGCTTATTTTGTCAAGCAAAATTCCATGAGTTCGAGGCCTTGGCTTCCTCATACTTCTTAGCAATGGTACTACAAAAGTTTGCATACAATCAGATTGATAGAAAAGTAACATGGATATCAAATAGCTAGTGCGAATTGATTGATAGACATCTGTAAGGTAATACCAACCTAGGCAACTGTTGGTATTTATTAACTTGTCACTTATTTTAAGTAGCCACCTATTGCTTACCTACATCTCCTAACATTATTTTACTAGGTTGTCATCCCTATTGATGATGCCAGAGATGCTTGTTGGTATTACCTACCACTACTACTAGAATAATACTAAGCAGTTCTTTATTAATTTATGTGACTAGGAAGAATATATATATATATATATGAAAGGAATCTACAAGCGCACAAATAATTATAACATTATAGCACTTCATCCGAGAGTATTCCAGGTATCATTATTTATATTTTTACCACAGGGAAGGTCTAGCATGGACATGTATTGATAAATTATTCTATTGATGGAGAAGTAAACCATAACCAATGTTCTACTCATGACAGGGATAAGTCATAGGATAAGATATATATATATATGATAAGTATTGATCAATGATAAATCACTCAGAGTACTCCTTTCTATGGCATTAGCATGGTTAGGTAGAATATTAGAGGAATAATTCCTAAGTTATTCTTAATTATAAGTCAAAGCATACATTGATTAGTGCACTTATACCTAGTAGTCATTGCTAAGATCATCTTTATATTTACACATAAGGGATATTACTAAGGAAAATTAAGAACAGAGCTTGTTCTTCCTTTATAACCGGACCCTATGTGCGCTTATATTCGGGGAGTGGACTACAAAGGACTCAATGGGAGTGTCACATCCGCGATCTACCATATGACACAGAATATAGGGTGTATCCGTAGATAAACAACGTATAAGCACCACGCTTACACAATGTTTACCACTCACCCATGGTACCTTAGAGTGAGCGCTATTAGAACTTATGCATGAACATGATGATAATCTAACTA